GCGCACATGCAGCGAATCCTACTGTGTACAGTAGTTGTTGTTTTATTTATGCTTCAGCTTAAATATTTGTTTATTTTATAAAAACATTACTGGAATATTTAAGAGCACTGAACTCTTTTTTTTATTTGAATGTATAATAATAATAATAATAATAATAATAATAATATTCTACCTGTTCTACCTCAACTTTCCATCTTGTTTTAGTATTTTTTACTGTTCAATAAATGTTTCTTATTTTAAACTTGAGACCTGTAATATTTGTTATCATTGTGTCATTTTTTTGATGTAAATTGAGGGAGCAAAAGCAGTATCGGCCCCAAATATCGGCTCAAGAAAATCGGCAGTCCATAATCGGTCATCGGCTAAGGGTGATGGAAAAAAATCGGTATCGGCATCGGCCCTAAAAAATCCATATCAGTCTATCCCTAGCTCACAGCAACATATTGAATGTTCTCTGCCAGCATTCTATAGCCTGTGAAACATTAAAGAAGCAGAGGCCTCAACATATGAAACACACTGGAAAATGGAGAGGGTAAAGCGAAGCATTATTCAGCTATATTCAATGTCACCACCATGCGTTTCTTCCAGACCTCAAGAAGGCCGCCTTGTCATTAAATAATGATATTGTGACTTTTGTTTATTAATGCTAGTCACTGAAAGATGCTTTCAAAATACTAAAATACAGAACTGAGTTAATAGAAGTTACTTTCCACCTCTGGTTAAAGTGCACTCAGACACAGAAACTCTCCCTGACCGTGCAGTCTGACCTCTCTGGAAGACGGGGGGATTAACAGACACTTTCCCTGGGAGGTTTAATAAAGTCCACAAATATTATTGTTAGTTAAATTGGATTAAACGTGATGGAAATAGATTTTATGAATGGACTTGTTGCTAAGCCGAGTAATACATCAGCAGGCTGACGTGACGGAAATTGAGACTGAGCTGTAAAATCAGAAAAAAATTAAAAAATATGGCAAAAGGTTACTTTCATAAAAGTTACCAGCTGCAGCTTAAATTGAGAAAATAATAGGCTCATTAATTAATTATGAATATAATCATTAGTTGGAGTCACCGGCTCGTGATCCGACCAGCAAATGCACCTGAAATGAGTCCACTGCGATGGCCTGGCACCGTAAGGTTTGCCTCCTGCCTTCCTCACCAATCCGTCTCACAAGCTGACCCCTCGAGCGTCTGAGGGCCCCCTTGAGAGTCTTCATGCAGGCAGAGGGGATTAAATCAGAAACTCAATGATTCTCTAAAAAGGTCAGAGCTTTCATAGCATTTTCATTCTATCAGAGCCTTGAGGTTGAATAACTCAAGTCCTCTCCACCACTCTGCCACAGGAGGGCAAAGAGAGGCTGCAGCTGGTGGAGGGGGGGCGGGGATCAAAGCTCTGCAGCCTTTAGACCTGCTGCTGTTTACTCTCTAATGCGCTCATCTGCCACCTCTCCTTCTCCCACCTCTGCCATCTCTGGCTTTGGGGGGGGGTTCTGCCCTCTGACGCCAGCACACGCACACACACAAGCTTGGTACTGTCAAGCTGTGCAGGAAGTGGTGCTGAGTTGAATTAATTAAAGGGTGAGAAAGCCGGGGTGGTTGAGACCTGGTGCAATCTGGTGCTTGACGCCACTCGAGAGCAGACACAGGTCTGTGAGGACATGAAGGACCTCGGGGGCACTTGAGGACTTTTGTGCGTGTTGTTTTAAAGTAAATCATGATTATGTAAGAGTGGTTTAGCTCCTGTAAGTCGTGAAATGACGTTATCAACATGTGATCTGAAGAGTAACACTTGATGTGAAGGCTTCTCACATATAGCAGGTACGAGAGTCAAATGTACAGATCTCAGTCCTGTGAGGTCACCAGCTGCAAAATCACACAGGTTAATGTTGGTTTTTGTCAGACTTAAGCCTAGTTCACATCACACGATTTTCACCACGATTTTGACGTCACAGAGGATCTTGAGAGCCACCTTGGGTCGGAGGTGAGTCAGCAGATAGTCTGCCAGGACGAGTCCTCATGTGTGAACAAGCCTACGAGCAAGTCGCCCCCCTTGTCTGTGACTGGGACTGGATATCTGGCATGCTAGAAAACTGGATAAGTGTGACATAACTGACAAAGGTGGGATACGTCCCACGTCAGCACGCAGGAGGACGGAAGAAATGTGAGGAGGACAAGCCACAGGTGGAGTTGCTTATTTGGGCTTGCTCTCCAAATGTCACCTTTCTCTTTATATATCCGTCTATTAAGTTATTTAAACACATGATAGTCGCTTCTTTTGGGCTTGTGTCCATAGCCCTGGTTGCTTGTTTCGCTCCCAAGATCTGGCAACACTGACAAGCCGGCAAGCAACAACAATGGCGGCGTCCACAGGATCACGGAGAGCACACTGTGTTTGGACCCAGGCCCTGGAGGCAGTTCTGATTCAACACTTGGAAGAATATCCATGCCTTTACGATGTGTCGTCTCCAAGTTAAAGAATGTAGTCTGGTGACATCACCGCGTTATCTGGGGCTCTGTCGGCGAGGGCTCGGTGGTGAAATCTTGTGGTGTGCACACACAAGTTGTAACACAGTTGGCAAGACTCCCGATGACAGGAAACACATGTCACCAGGTATGAACTCTCAAAAGATTATGATAGTCTCTGCAACACAAAATCGCAAACGAAGAGGCCATTAACCGTCAGATGACGGGGACGGTGAAGAACGGGTTGACTTACGAGAGAATTGCCGAAGGTCTGACCAGCCGCAGCTTCCCTCCCACGTCAGTGTTTACGTCACACGCTGAGCTACATGTTTTGTTACTTGCTCACGCCCCCCCATTGCCCCAAAAAAGGCGCATTCTGTATAAACAAAAGTAAGTAGGCGGCATTTTGACGCACTCCCCGATTTTGTTTTTATACTGCCAATACTGAAAGAAGACTGATTGGGCTTTCCTGCAAATTTGCACAATGCCTGTTTAAAAAGGGCTAATGACTATCGCCGGTGCAGAGGCATTAAAAAGTGCCAGGGAAGAAAAACCAGTACCCCCTGACAGAGGTACAAGCTAAGCCCCGAATAGCCTCAAACTCTTGAAATGCCCCTTTGTACACCTGACCTGTGTGGAGCTGCTGCGACTGGATCTGCCTCTTGTCGAAGATGAGTGAGGACACAACAAATATCAAGCGGGTGAAAACAGGCAATTCGTTTTTTAAATGTACTGATAGATGATAAATATTTATGACTGGCCCCTGGCCTCCTGTTATTTTGCAAAAGTTGCCCCCGGGGAAAACAAGTTGAGTGTCCCTGCTTTACATCCTTACCTCGTCTGCTGGATCACAAACACAAACACAGCATCTGAACATTCTTTATGTCACATTTCATTATCAAGCTGACATGACTGCAGTATCTTAATTACTCAAAATATGAGGTGAATAAAAATGGCAACCCTAGTTTCAGTTTCGGCAACCAAACGCTGATGCCAGCCTGGAAACCTCTTCTAAAAGTAAGTGTTGAGCCCTGCACAGCTGAGACAATCATGATATTAAAAACGAGAGGAGGCCTAATTCCCAAGTTAAATTCTAAAAATACAAAGCAGCCTTCACAACCAGCAGCACCTGACAGGCACAATATAACAAGCCAAGTGACGGCATGTGCGACAGTACTGCAAACAGACCTCTCCCTGCGTCAGCCGTGAAGTAAGAAGAGTACAAATGAGCCGGCGCTGCTGTCATTAATCAAGCTATTCTTAAACAACATGTTCCTCTGTGATGACCGTCAACACACACACACACACACACACACACACACACACACACACACACACACACACAGTATATATCTACAGATTCACATACACACTGACGATCTAAAAAATTCACTTTGATTCACACAGATCAAAGTGTAGACATCAAATTAGGCTGCATCTGCCATGAAACGTGAAGTTAAAGAAAAATACAAATGGCTCCTTAAACAGCAGAGAGACAGAAAAGAGAAGTAGTGGCTCGGTGTGAAATTCTCAAGTCCTGATCTCCCACAACCAGCCACTGCTGGATGCTGTCAACCACACAGAGCCCTCCTACAGCAGTGTGGTACACCCAGGTGGAATGACAGAAAATCAGCTTTGGCGTGTTTCCTCTTTAAAACCCACACTTTCGATGACCTGGGAGAGAGCATAAATCATTCTGTATGATGTAAAAACCCTGCTCCCCCCGGCATATCAGAAATGGTTAATGATGTAGAGTAGCTGAGAGGCTGGTGCACCCTAGTGGTGACTGCTGAATTGAGCTTTAAAGTCCTTCACACCCACTCTGCTCTTTGTGTGGAGGCTGCACAGATATTGGGTGAAGCTGCAGTGTCAATGTTTCATATCTCGTTTTGAAAACCAGCACAGCAGCAGCAGGAGCCTCGGACGTCCACGCTGCCCTGCGTACCAAACCACAGCTTCCCATTTTCATAATATAAGCAAGAGGGGAAAATGACACAGACTCATAATCCAGTTAATGGAGGGACTTTCTCTGAATGTCAGGCATGAGTGTGGAAGGAAACGATTAGTGGTGGGAGATAAAGAGCGATAAAGCTGACCACAGCTCCCAGTCCATCAGCTTTTCTCGGCTCTGTCGATTAGATAAGGCTTTGGTGATTACAGGAATTGGAAATTGCAGTGATTTCCGGCTCTGCTTTTTGCGTCCACTCAGAATTAGTGGGTGAGTAAGTGATTACTGATTATCGGCAACCATCATGGTGAGAAGTCCTTCCACTCCTCTTCAATTTGTCTCATAAAATCTGTTTTAATTGACTCTGCGTGACTCTGTGATCCTGCCTACGTGGTTCAGCGAAGGGTTAAGGGAGGCTGTGTTAGCACAATGAGTCTATGGGGGAGGACAGCTACAGGCAAGCAAGTGCGTACAAGACAAATTTGTACCAGATTTAGCCCACATCTTTATCAGGCTTCCCAAACACAAGGTTTTGAAAATGTGACAGCATTGTTTCTGACTGTGACTTGACTGCAGTCAGTGTCTCTACCTGTGAGCTTCTTCACGGGCTGCAGCCTGACACTGATGGTCTGGTGGGTGAGCAGCGGGGAGGAGGGCAGCGAGCGTGACACGCCCTCCATGATGCGAATGTGCTGCATGCCCTCGGTCATCGAGAGCGGGGGCACGGCGTAGTCTCCTTCAAAGGCACAGTCGCTGTCTATGCTGCCACCTGCAGGATGGGAGGGAAATCAGAACAGAGTGAGACGCTTTTCTCTGCTGTCAACAGCTGATTAACTCTACAAACATTTTAACACTGTTGGCAGTCGGTTTCTGCAAAGAAAATGAGAGGACCTCATGCTAGAAAGTATGGAGATGGTATTTAACTGTAAACTGTAACAAAATTAGAAATCAGACTGTTAAATTTACAATAATGTGAAACAGAAAAGCAGCAAATCCTCATCTCGTCTGCAGCCGCAACTTAAATTTTTGCTGAAAAAATGATTTTTTTTTTCTTATCATATTATAATTAGGCTTTGTGCACATGGGACTACAGTTTTTTCTACATATTTCATATCTATTAGAAAAAATACATACTTAAAATGAAAAATGTATTCCATTATATTTATAAAAATAAAATTAAAAAACATATACCATTATACCAAT